ACGCGCTCGAACAGCGCACTGGGGGGGAAGGAAGGGGGAGGAGGCAAGCTCGGCTGCGGCAGGACCAAGTTCCTGCCTCCTGCCCCTGCAGGGGAGAGCGGTGTGTGGGGGGGGGTCCCCCCCCCCCCCCCCCCCAGCCCTCTGCCCTGATCCTCCCCCCACACAAAGCCTTCTGCCTTGCACCTCCACACCCCCTTCCACACCCAGCCTTGTGCCGTGCACCTCCACACACCCCAGCCCTCTGCCCTGACCTCCCGCCAACACCCAGCCTTCTGCCCTGCACCTTGACACACACCCCAGCCCTCTGCCCTGACCTCGAGTTGCCCCGCTCAGCCCGCTGCAGGCCTAGGTGAACAGAACCCCAGGCTGGAAGTGGGCTGAGCAAGCTGGCGGCGTAAGATCAGCATTTTAATTTAATTTTAAAGGAAGCTTCTTAAACATTTTGAAAACATTGTTTACTTTACATATAACAATAGTTTAGTTATATAATATAGACTTATAGAGAGAGACCTTCTAAAAAACGTTAACATGTATTACCGGCATGCGAAACCTTAAATTAAAGTGAATAAATGAAGACTCGGCACACCACTTCTGAAAGGTTGCCTATCCCTGGACTAAGGTATCAATATTTAAGGTTTTCTGGTGTGTAGGTGGGAGGACTGGATGGCGCAGGTGACTAGTGATGGACCATAGAGCTGAACTGGCAGACTAGAGATGAGAGGTTCACGTTGGTAGTGAGCAAGAGGTGTTCTACCATTTGGTTGCTATTGTTGGGTGTCAATGATGAAGCAAGGTTAGTTTCAATCCAGGTCCCATAGGTAGGGCCCTACCAAATTCACCGCCATGAAAAACATGTCACAGACTGTGAAATCAGATCTCCCCCCTTTAAATCTAGTTATTGTAGGGGAGGGGTAGGGCTGGGGGTGCCCAGCTGGGGTCTCCTACTGTGCACCAGGCTCTAGCTGCTAGTCCTGGCGGGGCTGGGGCAGGACGGGATTTCTTCCCCTGTACGGTCGCCCTCCAGGAGAGATCAGACCTACCTCCAGGTACCTCCCTCAGCTTCAGGAAGCTCTGCAGCTGTGCTGCCTTTAGTGCCCAGATCTGAAGGCAGTGCAGAAGGCAGGGTGGCAATCCCGCGAACCCCCTACAACAGCTCTACGACCCCCTTTTGGGTCAGGACCCCCACAGTTACAACACCGTGAAATTTCAGATATAAACATCTGAAACCATGTAATAGACTATTTTTAAAATCCCACAACCCTGAAATTGACCAAAATGGACCGTGAATTTGGTAGGGCCCTACCCATAGATCAAGTGCCAGCATCCCAGCCACAATGGATACCAGGTGATAACTTAGTTGGCATCTCCTGAGATTGCAAAGGGTTGCCTGGCTCTCTGCCATAGGGCTTGTCTATACACAGAAGTGGCCCCATTTTAACTATATCAATATTGCTAAAGCAGTACAACTCTCCTAGTGTGGACACCGTTCTACCAGTATAAAGGCTCCTTTGTAATATAACCGTGTGCTCCTTTGATTATTTCAGTAAAAAAATCACCCCCAACTGAAATAGTGAAATTAGTACAAAAAACTGCGTTAGACCAGGCCTTGGGGAAGGTCCCGCCAGGTCAGAGTTGAAGCATGATGATAGGACAGTAAAGGAAAGCTTTCGCTGCTACCCTCACTTTTGCCTCCAGAGCTGTTAATCTAGTGGCCTTCAGTACTACATTCACACATCAAATTCAATATTGGTGCCTAAATAGTGTGCACATCTTTCTGTGGCAGCCACTTTTTGGTAGCTCTAGGCATTGATGTATAAAAACTTGCCCCATTGTGTGTGTGTGTGTGTGTAGTCATTCTAAAACTAGAGAGCCTTCTATTTAACGATAACGCAGATGGATGATTCTGATACTATGCTTATGTCCACGCAGTCTTTATTGCGGGATCAGATTCATTTAGAACTGAGATCCAGAGATCTTACTTGTCCCCTTTTCCTGTTTTGTTTGCTTCTAGGTACTGGGTTTTCAGATCTTGGGGTCGTGTTGGCACTGCGATTGGGAGTAACAAACTGGAGCAGATGCCATCTAAAGATGATGCCATTGAGCACTTCTTGAATTTGTATGAAGAGAAAACGGGCAACTCCTGGCATTCCAAGAACTTCACTAAATATCCCAAAAAATTCTACCCCCTGGAAATAGACTATGGACAGGTAACTCTCTAATATTCCTGTGCTGGGAAGATAATTCTTTCTTACACAAAGGAAAATGCTTATCCTGCATTATCTTATTTACTTTTTGAATGTATTTGTTCAACAAAAGAATAAGGTGCAGGAATCCGGATATTTTGCGTTAGGCAGAGTGCTAAAGTGCTCAGTGCTATGCGAGTGTAAGATGATACTGAGCCTACCCCAAGTGGCTTACCATGTAGATCAGGTGCAAACAACAGTGCATTTAAATAGATAACTAGTCATGTTAGAAAAGTGTTAAAACTAAAGTTAGCTCAGATGCCTTTGAGTTGACACTGTGTGCCCACTTTTGGGACCTCTCAATTGGGGAAGTTAAAAGAACACCAGTGAGTCAAAAGTAGTTTCATGTACTGCCCGGATCCCCGAGTCCAATGCCAGTTGTACATCACAATCTCATTTTCCTAGTTTTAAGAAAGTACTCTCTCCCCTACCGCTGTGAGTGACCCATCCAAACAGAGGAAACACTAAAACTGGCTCTTCCCCAGAGTTCTGTCAAATGCATATACTGAACAGACCAAAAACGAGAAATCAGCCATTGCAGAAAAGAGTCAGCTGTTTAAATAGTAAAACAAGAATTCTCCCTCTTCTGACCCCTGAGAACTTCTGTGAGTTTACTTAAAGGGATATCCTCAACTTGAATCATACTTCTGAGTGTTTTTTAAACCTACAGTTGTTGAACATAGCCCCTAAGATAACAGTAACAAAAAAATTAGAAAATATTTTCTAGCTATCACATATTCATATGGCCAAATTGTTGGATGTCAACTGAAATGTTTGAATATAAAAATACGTAGCTTTAGCAAAGTAGTCTGCATTAATTCAGAATGTTACACTGATGAGCTGTTAATAAAATTACAACCTCAACGCACACTGAACTCTGTTTTGAAGTACAAGGCAGATGCTTTATTGATCAGGCTACAGCATCTTTGATCTATAGCCAGGAGAACACACAGATGGTATTGTGGTCAACAGAAGACTGTACCATGAATAGAAAAATTTACAATAGAAATGTATTGAAAATGATTAGTACAGGCTGTGAAGTTCAAACAAAGCACAGTCCCCTAGTTCAGACCAAGATCTACATACATGCTAAATATTGTTGAAAAAGAAAATCTATTTAATATGGCCTTGGGTGAAGCAGCAAAATACAAGTGTGAAGATGAAAAATATGTTCTTCTAAATTTAACTTGCTTTTACATGGAGCACCTCTTGAAATTACATATGTCAAGTTAACGATTATTCAGTTTTTTTTAATACAGACTTAATGACCCATTGCTTTGTATTCTCAGAGCAATACCTCACATTTCCCACCAAATTCAGTCATTTGTGCAATAGTGTGCCCTCTCTAACTTGGCTTTGAGTTGTTACCATGACAATCAATACATTTCCCTTATCCCTTGGTATGTTTGTATTTACTCTTTCTAGGATGAAGAAGCTGTGAGGAAACTGACAGTGAGTGCTGGGACCAAGTCAAAGCTTCCTAAGCCAGTCCAGGACCTTATTAAGATGATCTTTGATGTGGAGAGCATGAAGAAAGCCATGGTGGAATTTGAGGTACTTGCACTTTTATTTAATGTTCCTTGTTTCTAGTCACGCCTTCCCACTAGACACCATAGTTATGCTGGCAGTAGCAGGCTGTTCGCACTGTGGATCTGATCCAGCACTGTCAATGGGAATCATTCATTGACTTGGGAGGACATTGAATCAGGCGAGAGAGAGAGAGTGTGTGTGTGTGTTCGTTCTAACCAGCCTTTATCACTAGTTTAATTTAAAAAATCCCTGTAAATGCCACTTCATTCATAACTATACAAATGTCATCTTGGCACATCTTTCATTAGTGATGTCTGTATCGAATGTTCTCAGCTTGTAAATCTAAAGGAGACTTTTCTGTCTGCTCATCCTGTAAGCTCAACCTAGGAACAGGAAAATCATTCTGTGTTCCTCTGTGTTATGCACATCATCACCACTGGTAGAGGTTTTGGAATCTTAACTCAGATGGCCACTGATACATGAGGCAAGAAACACCCTTCTGGGTCTGCAGCCCTGACACTAGTAAAACTATTATTAGTAAATTTAAATAACTGAGGCTCTGGAGGTGCACAGAAAGCTGATATGTGCATTAAGGTGATGTTTTGATAAAGCCTATTTCCTACTCTTAGCCATGTTAAATGCCGGATTCTTGTGTAATGTTTCTAAGGCTTGCTCTACACCTCGGAATTAGGTTGACATAAGGCAGCTTATATCGACCTAACTATATCAGTGTCTACACTACAGCCTTGCTCGCGCTGATGTAAGTTACCCTATTACACCGACATAATAACTCCACCCCCACAAGAGGGGTAGGCCTTATGTCAGTGTTGTTAGGGCGACGCAGTGTCTGTGTACACTCTGCATTCCTTACATCGGCTGTGAAATTGAAAAGAAAGCTGGCTCCTGGCTCCCCAGCCGGGCTGCTGCAATCCAGGCTCCCCACTTCCTGCTGCCCCTGTGGTTCCGACTCTCTTCCTCCCTCTCTCTCTCCAGCTGATGGGAGGCAAGAAGCCCCAAGCAGCTAGCCCCCTGCTCCCAACTGGGAGCTGCGCAGACCTGAAAGCCTTGGCTCTCAGCTTCCCCCCCCCCCCCCAAGATGCGCACCACAAACAGAAGGAGGGTAGTAATTACTGTGGCGGCTGTAAGTGGACCTAACATAGGTCGACTTAAGATTGTAGTGTAGACCTGTGGTCAGTGGCTCACCACTCTTTCAGTTGAGGAAAAAAGTGCTGTGATCCACCCTTCTTCCCATGTCTTTAGGATAACATATAGCTATGAATCCAAACAGGTGGGGCTAAGAGTGGTCTGGTAGTGCCTGCCTAAGGCCCTTCTTAACTTCCAATATTGCGGAAATTGCGGATTCCACAATATTAGGCTTCCACTGCAATTTGAGAGCGGGAGCCCCTTTCTGCGCAAGGCTGACAGTGGGGGCCCCTTGCAGCCCACAGCGGAAAATCGCGGAAAAATAATAATGGGCTTTATTACTGCAAATAATAAGGTCCATTATTACTTTTCCGCAATTTTCCATGGCTTGTCCACAACTCAGCCACTATTTTTTGATAATCATCCCACAGTTCAAGTAGGGCCATATGCCTGTCTCACCCCGTGCATATAAACTTGTGTATTAACTTTCATCTGCAGTCTCCAAATCTATTTTTAATGCTGTGGGTGAACTGCTGCATGTCAGGGCATCTGTAATGTTCAACAACATTTCTCTCTTGCTTTCTTTGGTCAGCCTATAAAGGTAGTTTAATTCACCTAGCATAAAATTGCATATTGAAAGAGGTGTTGTTTGCTCTCTGTGACATACAGATTAATTTGCACACCACCTTTTCTACAGCTACACTTCAGTTTGTCATGTGCAGTGAAACGCTGTATACCTGAAGTCCTTTTAATGTGCAAGCACATTCTGAAGCATCTATGATAACAGATTTTCCTGTATATTCTGTGGCTTTTGAAAGCAGATTTTGGATTAAAGCCTCTAAAATAAGTGCTAATGATTCTCCATTTCCTGTACTGTTTAGATCATCTGGAGAAAATTAGCTCCATTGGACCCATGCTAATTTGTGCCATTTGAGGCTCTGTATGGCCCCTGGAGCTTGAATGGAGACTTGCTCTTCCCATTAGATTATGGCTTTGTTATTATCCCATGCATGGGAGCAGCAGCTCTTTCCAATGAGGGAAGAATATTGCCTCTGCTAGGGAGCCAAAAACTGTGTGCAGTCTCCCCATGGGGTCCTTTCATCCGCCTGATTTCATGTGCTTTTTATCTACTGCACTGTATCCAGGCACTCCCAATGTGTGTAGATAGCTTTGGCAGCTTCAGGCTTTTTGCTGGTAGACTTGCTGTGATATAAAAGATTATTTCCATGATGGGGGTGACCTGAAGACTTTCTTCAGCTTTCTGATTCTGTAAAGACTTCCCCTCACTTAACCCTGTACTAGTCCTGTTACAATTCTTCACACCATTGTTTGTAGTAAACACCTGCTTAAATGGACTAGGACCTGAACTACCCTAGTACTGGCCATTCTCATTCCTGGATGGAGACCCTGACATCAAGCACTGGGGCGAAGTACTACATTACCCCTTCGTGAAGCATTGGTGTATTAACTGTTTTGCTGCTGGTAGCCCATGTGTCTGCAGCTTCTGTGTTGCTTTGTCCTCATGTTCCACCTGGTGCATGTGACTGCACTGGAGGTGATTCTGACAATATACCTGATGCATTTGGCAGCAGCAAAGTGACTATATTATTGATCTAGACCTGATCCGTCATGATCTCTGTGCTGTTTTGTCCAAAGTTAAACAGATCAGATCCATGTTGCTTTGCAGCTTAAAATCATAGTTTTACATCTTGTTTGCTACTTTACTTCCTGTATAGCCGTAGGAGATGGAAGTCCACTCCACCCTGGTAATGCTAATTTTAAGTGACTTGAAGAAGGGGCTTCCAGCACTTCAACCTAGACCTGGTCTCTTGGGAGGCTACATAACAGTCTAACGCCTTGGCTACACTTGGCCGCGGCAGCGCGCGAGTATAGTCGCGCCGCCAGCGCTGCGAGAGCTCTTCAGTAAGTACTCCACCTCTCTGAGGGGAGTAGCTTGCAGCACTGTGAGCGAGCGTGCAGCGCTGCAGGCGCTGATTACACTGGCGCTTTACAGCGCTGCGCTCGGGGGGGGGGAACTTTTCACACCCCTGAGCGCAGCAAGTTGCAGCGCTGTACAGCGCCAGTGTAGCCAAGGTCTAATAGATCTTGCTGTTAGGGAATGTGTATTGGTCTAGGCAGTGGCAAGCCTAAATTGTCATCACTGAGAATGTTTTGTCTGATTACGACCATCTTTGTCTTATTTCTCCTGAAAGTACATGTGTCCCTCTGCATGAGTGTTCTCAAGATATCGTAAGTTGCACTCTGTCATAGCTGAGGCTGTGACTTCTATCTCTCAGTCCAGCTTGGTTTATCTTTATAGCTGGATTTCATCACGTTATAGATGCAGCAGGAGGGGGAAGCAAATCTCTGTACCATGATACAAGGTGCAAATTATCATGCAAATTACTTCAGCACTTGGGTGGCAAGGCTCACTGGTTCAGAAGAGAATCTCAAGTTCCTTTGCAGAAGGGGTGTGCATGTGTAGCTGGGAATTTTAACTTAAATTTAATGAATAAAATAGAATTTATCCAACAGTAAATGATTTGTGGAGTTTCCTAGAGGGTTCTGCCATTGAATCCTGTTTGGAACTAGCCACTCTACACTTTTCCTCTCTGGGATGAGGGTTTTGGACTTGGTGCCTGTCAGTGCTCTAACTACACAAATAGTATTGACCTGACAAGCTGAGGGGTGTTCTGTGAGGACTGCTAATGTCCATAGAGCATATCCATAACCTCTTGTAAACCATTCAATTAAAATGGAGCTTTGTTAAATGCTGCTGCATACTTCTTCATTACAAAGCTGGTGCATGAAAAGGTCTAGATTTAATCTATAACTCCCAAGCTCCAGCTGTTCAAAACTGCTACCAGGCCAGAGAGAGATCTGGGAAGGTCTTGAGAGGTGAACCAGTAGAAGAATTAAGGTCTGGGGGGTTTAATTAGTTTGCCCAAAATGTGGGGAGGATGAGATAGGAGGGGGTGCCAGGCAACATCTATTTCTAAAATAAATTAGTAAATAAAATGTGGAAAACAGAAGCATAACTTGTACTGTGAGATTACACTTTTAGTTAACATGTGCCTTGATGGGGCACTCTGTATGCAAAATACAGAATACAACTTCCTCATGCCTTACTCTGCAGTTTACAGGTGACAAGGGCAAGTGCTGAAAATGGAGTACGCTTGGACTGTTACTGCAGTCAAAATACTGGGCACATTATGTGATCTCCTGAAGGATATTTTATTATGTTCAAACTGCCCTTTATATTAGTTTCTCCAGCAGTAGACCTAATTGTAAAAGGTCATGAATGCTTATGGCATTAGGTAAATATTAAACCTTATACTGAAACACTTATTTTGTTCAGCCCACGTACTGCACATGATCTTAAGTTACAGACGTAATTTTGTCCCATTGGGAGATAACTTGTCCATATTCTGGCTGCACGGCTCTATTCATTCTTCAATCCGTGCAGATAAATGCCAGCTCTGAACTGTTTTAATTTTTATATGATGTATTCTGCCTGGAGACTCAGATCTTTCTGGTGGCCAGATGAGAGGAACGATAGAGGTTTCATTGTAATGGAGTCCTGTTTTAATTGCTTCAACAAATCTCCTTGTTAGATTGACCTCCAGAAGATGCCACTGGGAAAGCTGAGCAAGAGGCAGATCCAGAGTGCATACTCCATCCTTAACGAAGTTCAGCAGGTAAGAACATTAGAACGGCCGTACCGGGTCAGACCAAAGGTCCATCCAGCCCAGTATCCTGACTACCGACAGTGGCCAATGCCAGGTGCCCCAGAGGGAGTGGACCCACAGGCAATGATCAAGTGATCTCTCTCCTGCCATCCATCACCACCCTCTGACAAACAGAGGCTAGGGACACCATTCCTTACCCGTCCTGGCTAATAGCCATTAATGGACTTAACCACCATGAATTTATCCAGTTCTCTTTTAAACGCTATTATAGTCCTAGCCTTCACAACTCCTCAGGTAAGGAGTTCCACAGGTTGACTGCGCTTGTGTGAAGAACTTCCTTATATTTGTTTTAAACCTGCTGTCCATTAATTTCATTTGGTGGCCCCTAGTTCTTATATTATGGGAACAAGTAAATAACTTTTCCTTATTCACTTTTTCCACATCACTCATGATTTTATATACCTCTATCATGTCCCCCATTAGTTTCCTCTTTTTCAAGCTGAAAAGTCCTAGCCTCTTTAATCTATTCTCATATGGGACCCTTTCCAAACCCCTAATCATTTTAGTTGTCCTTCTCTGAACCTTTTCTAATGCCAGTATATCTTTTTTGAGATGAGGAGACCACATCTGTACGCAGTATTCAAGATGTGGGAGTACCATGGATTTATATAAGGGCAATCAGATATTCTCCGTCTGATTCTCTATCCCCTTTTTAATGATTCCTAACATCCTGTTGGCTTTTTTGACTGCCGCTGCATATTGTGTGGACGTCTTCAGAGAGCTATCCACAAGGACTCCAAGATCTTTTTCCTGATTAGTTGTAGCTAAATTAGTTCCCATCATATTGTATGTATAGTTGGGGTTATTTTTTCCAATGTGCGTTACTTTACATTTATCCACATTAAATTTCATTTGCTATTTTGTTGCCCAATCACTTAGTTTTGTGAGATCTTTTTGAAGTTCTTCACAGTCTGCTTTGGTCTTAACTATCTTGAGCAGTTTAGTATCATCTGTAAACTTTGCCACCTCACTTTTTACCCCTTTTTCCAGATCAGGTGAGCAAGAAACAGACTTTACAACCAGCAAGGGAATTCAGAAGTCATTCTGGGCTCAGATCGCAGCTGGATTCCTTGCTGCATTTGTACTTTATAGAGGTTACACTTGTTTTGATCAACTAAAAGTTAATGGAGGAAGGGTACATACTTTAGGCTGCAGTAAAGGGGCTGCTTCATTCTTTTTTAATTAACCCGTTGCTGAGGACACTATTACTATTAATCACACCATCTGTAACTGAGGCTGTCTACACTTAAAATGCTATGGTGACACAGCTGCAGTGCTTCAGTGTAGACACTCACTACTGCAACGGGGGAGGGGTTCTTCCATCACTGTAGGTAATCCACCTCCCCAAGAGGCAGTAGCTAGGTCAACAGAAGAAATTTTTTGTCTACCTTTTGCTGCCTATTAGGATTAGGTCAGAATAGCTACATCTCAGGTGTGCACTTTTCACACACACGAGACACAGCTCTGCCAGTGTAAGTTTCTAGTGCAGACCAGCCCTAAGAGGACACAACTTCAGTGTTGTAGTGTAAAAAAGACCTAAGTTGTTCTTTAGGAAGAACAGCCTTTTAAGCATGTGGTAGAGGAGTATGTAAAGTTAAGCCTGGTCTACACTTAAAACTTAGGTCACCATAGCTACAGCCCTTGGGGTGTAAAAAATCCACTCTCCTAAGCACCATATCTATGCTGACCTAATCCCTAGTGTAGATGCAGCGAGGTTGACAGAAGAATGCCTCTGTCGACCTAACTGCAGTGTCTCAGGGAAGTGGAGTTCCTACAGCAATAGAAAAACCCCTTCCATCACCATAGTCTGTGTCTACACTACAGGGTTACAAGAGGCATAGCTGTGATGCCGTAGCTATGCCGCGCTAGCACCCCTGGTGTAGATATGGCCTGAGACAGGACCAAATCAACTGCTGCTGGTGTAAATGGGGGATTAATCCACTGAAGTCTGTGGAGTTGCGCTAGCAGTGAGCTTGACCCAACACTCCTGTGGAGTGGCAGTTACTTCTGTTCTCTGCATTCCAAGATGAGGTTCTAAGCTGGAAGGGGAGTGTGTTTGCTTAATGATATATTTAGACATGCTGTACTGTTCATCTGTTCTGAGTGCTATAAGGCACTGTAGCTCATGATTTGGAGCATTTCAAGGATCGCTAGTCAATATCATTCAGAAAGCTCACAAAAGTCCTCTGTATGGTACCCAAAAGAGGCATGCAGAGGGGCACTTCCAGACTTACTGTAAATGCACATCAGCTGCATGCTGCAACAAAATGATTCATTCCACTGTTCTCTAGTTCACTCTGTGAGCATGTCTGCGCTTACGGTTTTATTGCCGTTCGTTTTGGTGAACCAGAACCTCAGGTTTCTTTCGAACAAGCGTATTCCTTTATCAGTTGTTCCTTTACGGGAAAATGATTGTATTTCTGTAGGTATTTTGATTTGGAACATGGAAAGTGATTTAACAGGACTGTCCCTTTATTCATTTAAGTGGATTTCAGCAATAAAATCATTTTGGTTGTGCTTCTCTGTCCTTGTATTGGTAACATTTCTTTTTACCTTGAGTGCATCTATTGTTACATAGAACTTTCCCAGAATTCGTTTCTCCTCTTCTCATTTAGGCAGTTTCTGATGGTGGCAGTGATTCTCAGATACTGGATCTCTCCAATCGCTTCTATACCCTGATACCTCATGACTTTGGGATGAAGAAACCACCTCTCTTAAATAACCTAGATCATATCCAGGTATTAATGAAACTTATGATATTTATTGTGGAAAGCAGCTCTGGCACCTGATATTCAAATGTAGAAGGTTTGTGTTTTGTTAAGCGTGAATGAGGAAACACCTTCTTCTAGGAATTTAATTAGGTCAACTTAAAAGTGACCATTGCTTCATTGTTTGGGACAGAACTGTTCGCAATCCTATTTGACATTGTAAGGCTTTGACTATTATAGTGTAGCTTTGTGTTTAAGTATGTAGGCGTCTTTCTATGCTGTTTAAGTTGGCTTAGCTGTTATCCAGAAATGTCTGAAGAATTGTCCCCTGTGCTTAGCATAGCAAAGGCTGAACTAGCTCTTAACCATCACTTCACAGGCTTTGTGGCTTATATACAGCTAAAGAGATTCTGGGCCAAATTCCTCCTCAGTATAAGTGGGATAACTTTAGGTTTTCAGGCTTGAAAATGCTAGCCTGACTCCCGCCCATATTCTGTTGCATATCTTTGCCAAAGGATCAACTGATGTCAAGTTTTAAAGTAGCAAAACTGAATGGAAAGGGGAAAATCGAGGGGATATGTTTTTAGCTTTGTGAAAGCAGAGAAAGATGTAGAGCTTGACCTTAACGTAGGAATTGCAGGTCTTAATGTAGGTTCTACACAATCCTCATGGATACTGAGCTGCTTTTGCCATCACACCCTGGGATCCACTTGTCTGAGAAATTGCTTATATGCCCATGACCCTCTGCAGAAGTCTGCCAGTTTGCTTGAGCTCTGTATTCTGGAGCTTAAACTCTCCATAGCTGGCAGCAGAACAGGGGAGGGCTTCTGAAATCTGCACCCTCCTTTGGAGCCTGGGATGGTTCACTTAAAGAGAAGTGTCAGATCCGTTTGCCCAGGTGCTGTATTGATTTTATAATAGGGATAGGTGGGTTTTTGTTAACAGAAATGTTCTATAAATAGCTTTATTGATGTGAGCCACCCAAGTGTTGTGGCAGTGGTGCACAGACGTTTATAAATATCTCGTCATTAACATGCTCATAGCAACTGCAGGACAAGGTCTTAAGGCTGTAAAGACTTTCCTATGGCAAGAAAAATAACCTCTTCAAATTATCCAGGCCAAAGTGGAGATGTTAGACAACCTGCTTGATATTGAGGTCGCTTACAGCCTTCTCAGAGGTGGAAATGAAGATGGGGATAAAGACCCAATTGACATCAACTACGAAAAGCTCAAAACTAACATTAAGGTAAATGAAATAGAATAGTAGACTGTGGTCAGTGGCTGTGAATATGAACTTGGCATCCATTCGTATGGAGTATAAGGCACTGCTGGCAAACTAAAAATACAGCTTTCCACTCTAGCAGGAAACAAATCATGCCCCATGTTGAGCTCCCAGTATACCATTATATATGCCTGTATTCACTCCACCATCTGTACAAAAATAATCTCTTAATTCTGATGCCCTGTTTGTGTTCCTGAAGGGTGGAATGGGGGAAAGCCCATATTTCCCGGTCTCTCCAAAGCCTCCAATAACAGTTTGTGTCACCCTTCAACTCACACAGAGATGATTCTTTGGTTTTGGCCAAAAAGCAACTTATGATGCCCGAGGCATGTCTGTCCTAGTGATAAATAAGAGATTTAGTGGGGGGAGCTACCAACTGCAGGATGAATTTTTCAGTCCCCAAAATGACCTAACAGGATCACATTAATCTGCATTTTTAAAGGAAACCTTTTGTGTTCTGCTCTTTCCTCCCAGGTTATTGATAAAGATTCAGAAGAAGCCAAGATCATAAAGCAGTATGTGAAGAATACACATGCCTCTACCCACAATGCATATGATCTAAAAGTTGTGGATGTAAGTTTTGAAGGGGTGGGGAGTTAGGTGTGTAAAATTGGTTTATACACCTTTGCTTTCTTCAGTGTCTCTTTTGTGTGTTGAATAACTACTGAGCTTCTGTTATAGAAAGTACTTGTTACATGAGTGAATACAACAAAATCTCAAGGCAAGGAGCTGGGGAGGAATTTGCAAATCTAAGTTTTTAGACATTTCTTGCTGTCAAGATGTTTTTATTTTCATTTGTCTCTTAATAAATCCAGGGAAAAAATCACCTTTGGCCTAAGAGAAACCTGGAAAATTTCAACCCCAAAGGAGAATTATTCAGAAAGTTGTGAGCAAGTAAAAATTAGAGGGGGTGGCGGGGTAAGGAACAGAAGTGGTGCTAGCCCACTCGGAGCCCTATGAAGGAATATTTTGGTGCCCCTTTTCCCCCAACACATACTGAAAAAGCAAATGGGGGCCCCCTTGAGTCTGCTTATGCCCAGCGCCAGCACTTAAGAGAAATAACTTGTAATGAAATGTCCTGGTGTAACCTTTGATATAGATAACTGGCAGCTGGAGTTAGATTATGACAGTATGAAGTTTGCTTCTCTTAGTATGTTAACTTTCCTAGCACAAATTAACCCATTTTCAAGATCAGACCATCTTTCCATGCACCTGTTAACTATGAGATTTTTGTTTTCCTTTCTCCCTCTTTAAAATGATAAAGATCTTCAAGATTGAACGTGAAGGAGAAAATCAGCGTTACAAACCGTTCAGACAGCTTCATAATCGCCAGCTGCTCTGGCATGGCTCCCGCGCTACCAACTTTGCTGGCATCTTCTCACAGGGTCTCCGAATAGCTCCACCTGAAGCTCCTGTGGTATGTAAAATGCTACTTGTTAAACAAGTGCATAACCATAATTATGCCACTCATCCTGTTCCTCTTGACACATTTTCCCCCCTCCATCCGTCTGGTCTCCTGTGGCCGCTATCTGTAAGAGCCTAAAGAAGAGAATGTCTAGTTAAGGAGGGGCCAGATGACCTCTGTGAACATGTAATGCTATTCAAGCTGTCCAGAAAGAATGGTTGCTGAGCAACATGTCTATAAGTTTGCCAATAAGTTATACCTCAGACAGAGCTTGGGGGTTGTTTTGTAGCATTACTCTTCTAGTTAATACAGAGAGAATTCCAGGCAGATGGTTTCAACATCAACTTGGTCTTTGAAGCTGGGATTTTATTTTGATAACCTTTTTCCTTTCCCACTCCCAGACTGGTTACATGTTCGGTAAAGGAATCTATTTTGCGGACATGGTATCCAAGAGTGCCAACTACTGTCACACGTCTCAGACTGACCCAATAGGCTTAATCTTACTGGGAGAGGTTGCCCTTGGAAACATGTAAGTAACTTGTATGTTATTAACTGGCTCAGAGTTGTAGAAGGTAGCACCTAAGCTGCAAACCTCTTCATCCAAGTGACAATGAGAAGCTGTTGTAGTTTGCTTGGAAATCATTAAAAGCTTTCTTAAATCAGGACAATTTTGGAAACTCCTGAAATAAGTGAATAATTTGAGTAAAATTTGTGCTGCAGATAGAGAATATTGCCTTAAAAAGAAACAGCTTTAATAGTAATAACTATAATAAGGAAGGAGAAACCACAGCTGTCTTCTAAAGGCATAGTATGTAAAATAACTTCATAGTAATGTAACTAAATGTCTTTATTTTTCACTAAGAAAGTTCTCTTAAACTCCTCCAGAAATGTTCTTCTTTCTACTTTCTAGGCATGAGCTAAAGAATGCTTCCCACATAACTAAGTTGCCCAAGGGAAAACACAGTGTCAAAGGTAAAGCTTAGTTGAGAAATTATCAGGGTGACGATAACTGTAACAATCGTTGCTGCTTCATCCCATGTCAGCTTTTGCTTGGTGAAAAAAATATTCTAGTCTTGTGCTATGGCTGTATCTTCAAAAAGATTGGATAACGTTACCTTCAATAATGTATTTATGTATTTTCATATGGGGAGGGGGAGGGACTCTTGTTTCATGCTTCATAGTGTGTTAGCTGGCTGTCTTAAGGTTCAGGCAGGAATTTCCCCCCAAGTGTAGCACTGAACAATAAAGTAGGTGTGTTTGTCTCTGAGGTATCTGGTATTGGGCATTGCTGGAGGTAGGATGTTACTTGATAAACCAATAGTGTAAAGGATTTTGAATAACACTTTCAAAATCCCTTTAATATTCAGGGAATAAATAGCTGTTTTTGTCTGTTGCTGATAAAAGCTGGAATTGGAACGATTGCTGTTCTTACAATGCTACTTAAGTTCCTGTTTTCTGGGGGATTTGTAGAGGGAATTAATGAATTTTGAGAATTATCCGCACAGAACTGGGGGAAGAGTAACATTTGACAAATGCCCCTGATTAAACAGAGTGCAGATCTGAAAGGCATCTTTGATTTTTAAGATATAAACTCTAGTAAAGATCTGACTTAAGTGTCCATGTAAGTATACAGTACATTAGGCCCCAAATTAACTGTATGTCAAGGAGGGGCTTATACAGGAGAACAGGAATTAGTTCATTATTTTAATTTCATTTAAATTTTACAGTTTAAATGTACTCTGTATTGGGAATGGTGTGAGAGAACTGGAAAGTGAATATAGTCTGTACACTGTCAGTGTCACTTTTAAGATCTCTTGGGATATAAATCTGTAGCTTACAGCAGTGGTTCCCAACCAGGGCTCTGGGGCCCCCTAGAGGGCCGTGAGCAGGTTTCAGGGGGTCCACCTAGTATGGCCAGCATTAGACTCAGTAGGGCCCAGGGCAGAAAGCCAAAGTCCTGCCACACGGGATTGCAGCCCGGGGCACTGAAGCCCATCACCCAGGGCTGAAGCCAAAGCCTCAGGCAGTTTCCCTGCTTGCTACCCCCTAACGCCGGTCCTAGCTTTTATACGCAGAAAAACAATTATTGTGGCACAGCTGGGCCATGGAGTTTTTATAGCTGGGGGGAGGTTTGCTCAGGAAAAGAAAAGGTTGAGAACCCCTGGCTTTTACAGTACAAGTGAGGCTGTGCTGAAGCGCTTGATTTCCAGTGGACATAAGTGGGAACTGGATAAGAATCCTCTGACTTCAGTGCAAGCAGAAATGGGCTCTTAAGTAATCTGGCAATTGTACACAGTTTCGTTTGAAGAAATAAGAAAATTTAAACTTCATGCCAGAGAGCCTGGACATACCGTAGGATTCCCCAAATGTCTTTTATGGCAAGCCATTGAGAGTAGGGGTATGGTGCTTGTAATGGTCTGTAAAGTATCACACACATCTATTGCACTGTATAAATGACTGTAACACTGTCATTAGTGAGAATTTTTCTAATACTATGCGAACAAGATTTTGCCTACATTCCAAACTTATAATTAACACTGTCTTTCTTTTTCATAGGTTTGGGCAAAACTGCACCGGATCCTACAGCCACTATCACTCTAGATGGTGTAGATATTCCTTTAGGGAATGGGATTCCATCTGGAGTTAGCGATACCTGTCTTCTATATAATGAGTATCCTTTATTATCATTCCACTTTAACTGGAAAGCATTTCTCTGTATTATAACTTGCAGAATTATTAGCAAGCACCATTACAGTAGAGGAAGTTTACATACAGAAGCCTTTTCTTTTATGGAGTGGTTAGTAAGCTACAATTTGCAGAGTCCCTCTAACAATTTTAGAATAATGTTTAAAGAAACTGTCATTATCAACCCTGCATAAAAAGAAATAGTACACATGGTAAGTAGTTATGTTACCTACAGTACTTTGCACTTCTGTAGCACTTTCAAAGCTCTTTGTAAACCATTTAAATTTAAACTTCACAGCACTTGAGGGGGGGAATTAGCCTTTTACTATTTCTAGATGGATAGATAAACAGAGACCTATAATTCATTTGTCCGCACTCATGGTATGTCAGTGACAGAACCAGGGATAGCACCTGTGTCTTGATTCTCAAATAGATGATCTAACCACTAGATACACTTCCTCCCATCCTACTAATCAAATAACTTTTTAAATTAACAATCTCTAGACCTGTCAGAAACTCAGCTGACTGCTCTTGGGTGAATTGTTTCACCATAAAGCTGTTTATCTTAAGAGCTGGCAGCAGGGAGCATATGGCAGGTTTGGCTTTTAATATCGCTCCTATCTTAGTTCAGTTGACAACATGAAATGGAGTCAACTAATGTGCTATTCATTCAGCTTGTCACTATTAGTTTTAAACTACATCAGACTTAGTGAGAATTTGTTTAATCTAGTTTTAGGGCAGGTCTACGCTACAGCCTAAGTCAATATAACTTACGTTGCTCAGGGGTGTGAAAAAGTGCACTCCCCCTCTCCCCAGCGACACCAGTTTTGCACTGTCCATACCAGTGGGAGATGCTCTCCTGCCAACGTAGCTTCCACTTCTCGACAAGGGTGAAGTAATTATGCTAACAGAAGAGCGCTCTCCCATTGGCATAGCATATTTTCACCAGACATGTAGCACTGTGGTGTAGACTTGCCCTTAGGAGTCATCATCTTAGAAGTAGGTTTGTAGCATTAAGAGTTGAGAAAATGAACAGACAAGGTGAACTGCCTTATTTTTCTAATGAAACTTAGTAGCATAATAACTATGATGCAGGCAGTCTCAGTCCATTTCAGCAATGCCAACAATTGCACTGTTTTTCATTTTCAATCCCCCTGTGAGGCTAGCAAGTATTCTCTATTTTTATAGATGGGGGACCTGAGACAGATTGAATGGCTTCACACTGGAAAATAGTAAGAGAGATAGGATTAGTATTCAGGAATTCCTGATCCTTGGTCTCATGTTCAGACCACACCTTTTTCTTTGTCCCTGATATTTGGACTGAGCGTGTGACTTAGCGCCATGAGGTCCTGGCAGACAAGAATGGCATTGCATAAACATAATCTTCAGCAAACACGGTCCCTGGTCCAAGTCAGTCAGTTTGTCTCTTGAGATTCCCATCACACTTTCTTCAGTGCTGCTCCTGTCTGGTAACTCTGCCTATTCCTTTAAGCAGTTTACACAATAGACTCTGATTCAAAGTAAACATTGTTGAAGTCCAAGTTATGTTTATATTGTTATTTTATAGTAGCTGTTCCTTAACTCACTGTTTCCTTCCCAGATATATTGTCTATGATGTTGCTCAGGTAAATTTGAAGTACCTGCTGAAACTGAAGTTCAACTATAAGACATCACTCTGGTGAACCCTATTTAGAAGCCCCGTTAATGAGTTATAATGTAGTTACATTCTAGTGCTGACTTCTGACATGCTTAAGCATTGACTTCCCTTATCAAGGTATCAAAGCGCTAAGATGCAGCAGAGGTTACTAAATCCATATTTAGTAAATCACTTTAGTAAGAGGTTTTTATATAAATATGTGGCAGCACATGGAACTGAATTCTGATGAGAATGAATACCTGGTTTTGTTTTAAGCCACTTCTAATTTTTGGGCTATCAAGTGTGTCTTTGAATTGATGGTAGACCAAAAAAAAAAAAAGGAAGGGGATTTTAGCCAAATAGAGTTGGGGAGGAAAAGGAATTTATGAATGTTTACAAATAGATGCGCTATTTAAAAATAAGTTGCCCACTTGTTTAAAATATCCTCTTCCAGTTTTGATTTTGAATAAATGTTAAACGTGCATTTATTTTGAGGTAAAAATAAAAGCTAATTTCATACTAACAACTTTTATTTTTATGTTGCAAAATGATTGAATTGCTTTGTTAAATTGTTCCAATGTATTCTTTTGTAATGCTTTTAAACACGCCATGTCTCTCTAAATATAAACACTGAACATTAAAACCTGTGGACACATCTCACAATCCATGTTGGAATGAAAACTTGGACTTCCCATTGAGATTCTTTTCCCCATGAACAGTCGGTGGTGGTAGTAGTAAGCAGTTTCTGATTAAACCAAGGCCTAATGTGACAACTGTCCATGGAAAGCACCAATACATGTTGCTATGTTTCGTTCAGTGTTAGCCTCAACAAACTTCCTTAAATACCATTTTTTCATGTGATTTAGGCGGGGTGAAGGTCGTTCCTGTAGACTGATGTTCTTCTGATCCACAGAACAAATGTGTTGCATGGGTATAGCAGGCTTCACTTGCCCTGACCTAGGCTGAAATGCAAGTTCAGTCTCCATGGCCAATTTTATCCTTGACCACTCTTGATAGACTGTCAACGGAAGGTGCCATTAGTTCTAAATATGGTAGTTTTTGTGATGTGGGTATTTCTCTTAAATCCAGAGAGAGACCAACTCACTTCCCATAGACCACAAAACAACCTGGGATGATTTTTGACCATGGTGACTTGGTGTTTAAATGTTCCTTACCTAATGTCCTGAGCTATCCATTTCTACATTGTTTTGATATATGCAGTGTAAAACATGGAGTAAATAACTAATAACCTTGCTTCTGTGACTCATTCACAAACTACACATGTTGAGGGCTAAAATACATACATTTTAAATGTGCTGAATCTCAACAGAGGAAAGTCCAAATTCAGGGCATCGTTCTAATATGTATATCATAATGCCTGCAGCCACAGTAATGCGAAAATGCTTGATTTTTAGAGTATGAATCAGATTTTTACATAATGAAGTTGGTGAGATTGCAATTAGTGTTCTAAGAACAGTGGCAGTTGCTAATGCAACAAGCAAGGCAAACTATCATTTGCTGCCTCTGAATTATTGGGTTTCAGTGCACAATGGTTCTGAGTAGAATTTAAAATTGGATTGTCCACTGGGATTTTCAACTGCTTGCTGCTGGGAGATTTTTTTTCTGAAGTGTCCCATTGGGTTTGTTGCATTCCAGTGATTAGATACTTGTCCTTTCTAAAGCGTGGGGTCTTTGAAAGAGGCGTTTCAAGGCTGAAGGCTGCCTACATGGCTACTTCTGCTGCATCTGGGACTGAATGAATAAGGGGAATGAAGAGCCAATAGAGGGAGCATTGAGAGCTGCTGTTGCTCTATGGGAAGGAAACGCCAAAGGAGCAGGTAAGTCATGTGACATAAGAGCCACTGGTACTGGAGGAGCAGGGTAGCTGGTACTGTAAGATTTTTTTGAGAGAGAAAGTGAGGAGAGTGGCCCCTGATTGGTTGCTCCTTTCAGAAAAGGGGAGGGGGGGAACAGAGCGCAGGCACATGAGGAACTGGGAAGCCAAGGGCTTCCTCTTGGTGCAGCAGCAGCCTCTTCCCCCTCCCAGGGTAAGAGGAGAAATGCAAAGAGTTAAGGGAATAGGGGGGAAACTGATTCATTGGGGGTAGGAAAAAGGGAGATTGACAACACAGGAGTGTCCTTTAGTGTAAGTCTTTGTTGGAAATTTCATTGGACTGTAACCTGCTATTACAGAATGGAATTTGAGTGTAAAAATACTTCTCCAGTGCATTTTCTGTTTAATAATTGAAGACTTACAGTGTATCCCAACTATCATAAGCTTGAAGACAGTGTATTTTACCTTGCAACTTCCTATAGGTCAAATCAAATGAACCGAACCCCTGAACCACTGGTATGTTTCTGCTCTGAATAATTGGCTTTGTGGGGTTTCTTGTTGACTGTCTTGACTCCATGCTAAAGTTGCTCAGTTCACAAGTTTAAAAAAAAAATAAAAAAATCCTAAACGTCAGCCTTGCATACCCAACCTGGAATCAGAAAATTGTCATGATTTTTGGGCTCATATCACCATCAGTGATAAAAGCTCTGTGCCTGATTCTCTCAAAGTTTCTTTTACTCCCAGAGCAATGTGAAGGGCCTTAATGTGGGTATACATGTAATTATATTGCCAGCATGGCATAAAAGTACCTTAGTGTAAATGATAATCAGCCCCTCTTTGATGGTGTGAATCACTTTCCTGTAACTGTATTGCCTCTGCAGGACTAACATGAGAGGAAAAACATAGTAGACCTATTTTGTCACTGAAATACCAGCTAAGATTTGGAATATATGCAGGGAACAGACTTGTTGAGTAAGTATAGGGCAGCACTTAACCGTAATACTTTCAAAGAAGGAATTGTAGAGTTAAATAAGGTTGTTTTTTGGAGGGTTAAGGAGTTTAGATCAAAATAGGAATGATTCAAATTTAAATGTGCTGGGAAGAAATTATGTAAGTGTTACCAAATGAAGAATTTTCTGAATTAGGAGAACTACAGCACAAGCAATTTAAGAATAAATCTGGTATTTATTTGTATTATGGTATTGCTAGGGGGCCCAGCTGAGATTGGTCATTGTACAGTGCCTCGCTTAAACACATGGTAAGAGATAAGAGAGAGTCTCTGCCTTTAAGAGTTTAAAATCTAAATGGACAAGGCAGAAAGGGAAATATTATGTCCCTTTTACAAATGGAAACTAGACTACAGAGGGTAAGTGACTTGCCCACATTACCATGGGAAGTCTCCGGCTGAGCTAGGAATAGAACCCAGTTCTCTTAAGTGCTAGGCTAGTACCTTAGCCACACATCCATCCTTCCGCTTTAAACCACTTTAGTACTAAAGCCTGTGGACAAAGAGTTTCTTTAAAACAAAACAAAAAAACCACTGTTCACATAAATGAAAGGAAAAATACTTGTGAGACGTGGCGGCCTCCAACTCTGGGTTGTTATATTTCTTTTCTACATCTTGCATCCCTTCTGCTATGTCTTTGACTATAAAGAATGATGTTTCCACTGTGATGAACTACATCGGGGTTCTCAAACTTCATTGCACCGCGACCCCCCTCCTGACAACAAAAATTACTACACGACCCCAGGAGGGGGGTGACTGAAGCCTGAGCCCACCTAAGCCCCACCACCCCTGGCACCCCAATTAAAAGGGGGTCATGACCCACTTTGGGGTCCCAACCCATAGTTTGAGAATCCCTGGACTACATACATCTGGCCAGCAGCTAGCTTGGGTTTCTACCTTTGAACAAGTACCGGGCTACTTCCCAAAAAGTATTTCCATTTCATTCATACACTGGCATCTAGAAGACTGGTCACATAGTGAGGCTAAAATAACATTGCTATGGCAGTTTTCCTGCAGGCTGCTCTAATCTAAAAGCATGGAAAACCCATTTCACCCAAAGCCTGACCCTGCCAATATCACTGAAATCTATGAAACACAGAGGGTACTCTGCTTTTTGCAAGATTGGCCCCTGAAACAAATTTTTTTGCATTAGAAGTTTTGGGCCCCAAGTTCAATATTTCCACTGTTTTGGGAGTAAGAAAAGGGAAAGTTAGGTCTGCTCAGATGTCTTCCCCACTCCTAAAATAACAAGCTTAAAATATAAATAAAATTAAGCTCTAACTATAAAGACATGATTTGTTATTTTTGTCCTGAAGTTTTTTGTTTTTTGTCTACCTTCATGCACTGGAGTCTAAAATGTACTGTCAGGCTATTTTTTTCTTGGCTTTATAAAGCATCTGTTACCATAGTTTCTAGGTGGCATAAGCATAACACCAACTAAGAGCTAGATTTCATACCCTGTGCTTGTTTTAGTTGCTATTCTGAGTAGCAGAACTATGGTTAGATAGAACAATGCCAAGCCACTTTGTATCTCAATTTGGGAGGGAAGAGACCCTTTGAAAACAAGAAGAAGCTAAAGTACAGAGACAGTGGTTCATCCTGATAATTTAGGAGGGGGGAATTCTACAGCTTGGGGCCTTCTACCAAGAATTCAGTGCTTACAGACAACTAGCTGCAATGTTCGTGTTAACTGCAGGTACTTGAGGGAGAGGCAATCAGAGATACTTGTCCCTAATTCATTCAGAGCTTTAAAGATCAGGGTCCAACATCTTTAAGTACATCTGGAATTGGATCAGGTGCCACTAAAAAGTGTGGAGCACTGGTCTTATCTATCCCAATTTTGAGGCAGGATGCTGAATGATGAACTGGCTTCAGTTACCGTGTGGCTGTTGCATTCATTTCCACTGAGAATGTGGTGCAGTAGTCCTAGAGGTGGCAAGCCTCTCCAGGAAAAGAGCATGGTCTGCTGGCTAGTCGCAAGTGAAACAAGGTATTTCTAGCCTCTGTTGAATGGTCCAGAATAGTGGTGGATACAGCAGGATAAAGAGCTTGCACTAGAATGTCCATCAAGAGTGCTGTTAGTGACCAGAGAGCATTCAGTTCCTGACACGAAGTGTGTTCTTCCTCCTATCATCACCATCTTCCCTAGGGTAAGTGTTGAGCTAATTTTCTTCAGCCTCTGGGAATAACATCATCTGCACTATATACAAAAGAGATACAGAACACTTTGGTAATAGTGAAATACAGTGATTTACATGATCTCAGTGTCTTGCATAGCTGAAAAAAAGGGGTGATGAGTGGGCTCTGGAGGACTTCAGGATGATGCTCAGGCCATTAAGTTCAATAGCCTGTTATGACCCTTTAGAGCCTCTTAAAGGAATGAGCAAAGCCAATTTAGAGAATCTCCATCTGTATAAGGTGGTCAGCAACATCTAATGATAGACTGGTAGGCTGCTAGTACTGTGGACATCTGTTTTTCACTATAATGTGTGTGTCAGTACAAATGGAGCCATTGCCATGCCATAAAGCTTGAATCTGAGATCTTCATTCAGGTTTTCCCCTTTTCGCTCCATGATCACACTGGTACCATTTGAATGTAAGCTATTGGCATTTTTTAAATGCTATAAAAGGACATGAACAATCAAAGAAAATGAATAGCTTAGGTGTGGGGCCTAAGGCCTGGTCTACACTGGGGGGTGGGGCTCAATGTAAGATACGCAACTTCAGCTACAGGAATAGCGTAGCTGAAGTCGATGCATCTTATTTCGACTTACCTCCCGTCCTCACGGCGCGGGATCGACGGCCGCAGCTCCCCCGTCGACTCCGCTACCGCCGCTCGCACTGGTGGAGTTCCGGAGTTGACGGGAGCGTGTTTGGGGATCGATTTTTCGCGTCTAGACGAGATGTGATAGATCGATCGCTACCCGCCAATCTGGTGGGTAGTCTGGACATGCCCTAAGAACTGCGATCATCAAATGCCAGCAGAAACTGCACCTGACCTGATTGATAGTATTTTCCTGTGTATGTAGCATTTTGTAGAAAATACCATGTACACAAGAAATGAAAAGACATAAAATGCTTGAATGCACGGGTATAGTAGCTTTCTTGAAAGGCCAAAAGGTAAAAACTTGTTAATACTGGAATCCAAATTATAAAGTAGTTATTCTTTAGTCTTGTGACATACTGTGTAACAGGGATGTGTTTTACAAAATCCATAACAGCAGCAACTGCAGCTGAAGGAATGGAACATTAAAGAAATGTCCAGCTGATTTGTCGCCTGTGATCTAATAACGTAAAGGTGACCTGCAAAGGGGGATGTGGAAGCTCTGGAAGTGTTTTTTTAAAAGGTTTTAATCGTACTTCCTTTTTTTAATATTAACAACAGTTGCAGACCATTTGGCTGTGTCTATGGTAGACTTTTTCCCCTAAAATTTCCCTCCAGTCTATGCTGGTGTCTGCCACCATGTTTTCTAATGCTGTGGGTCTAGATGACACAGTGATATAAATACCGGTGGCTACCAGTACCTCTCCTACACTAGAGCTCTCACCATTACAGCTGCAATGGAGGGAAAATTTAGGCAAAATCTGTTGTTAGAGGTCTATGAAGATTAGTGAATTAGGGGGAAAGAATTTTTAATAGTTTTAAAATTTTAGGATTTTGCCTACTTAGCATTTGAAGAAAGTTCAGTGTGACAGACTTAATAGAGGCCACCCCAGCAAGTCCTCCATCAAAACCAGAGTTGGCATGTTGCTATTTCTAAGATGGCAAAACAAGTGGGGTGGGGGGACCCCTTCTTTATAAAAGAGAGGAGCAAAAACAAATTCAGGTTACCTTTTAAAATGTCAGTTGGAATGTGCAAGTCCGTGCCTTCATTTTAAAAAAAGAGATGACACTTTTAGTTGCCTTGTAATTGTCCCCTAAGGAGACTGGATGTTGTTCATAAACAAATATTTCCCCTACCTGCAGTAGCAGGGAATATCATGCATTAGGTGGCCAATCTGTGTGCCCCTTTACACTTCGATTAAGTGAAGTAGAAGAGAATACAGAGCCCTTTTAACATGTACAGGAGATGAAGTGCTAGCACCAATGTCCCTGTCAAACAAATTACTACTGGCTTTTTTTCCACTCCTAGGAATACAAATTCCTACTTCCATGAAAATTTTTGCCAGAAGTCAAGCTAAATTTTATATTGGAAAATGCCAACTGGATGACTTCTTCACTTAATGGCTTCCAGTTGCAACTTAGAATTATGTTTCAACTGAAGTTTTTTCAAGGTATTTCATTGTCATTAATCAAACATCTTATCTGTGTGAAGCAGTCAGACACTCTGCCACAATTTCAGCTGTCACCCTTTTGGTACAAAATCCAAGCCCCCATAGCATCTTTCAAAGAAAATTAACAGTACCAAGAAAAAGAAATTGAAGAAAAGTAGCTAAGAGCATAACTTAGCCCACACAACCTAGGAAATCCTGCATTTAAAGTATACCCTTTATAGAATCCATTTTGCTTAAAAAGTACATGTTTTACCAAACAGGGAACAATCTCATATTCCACACTTAACTATAATAAGGAGGGGAAATGGTAAGGTATGGACCGTTTCAGTCTTAATTCTGAATTTCTTTGGTTCTAGGACAACATAAGGTACGTCTACACAGCTAGAAGCAGACCGCTAGGCTTCAGAGTCTGAGCCTGAACATTTACACAGCTATTTTTAACACTGTTGTGTGAGCCTGAGTCTGTAGACCCAGAGTCTGATTCACCACCAGGGGTTGTCCCTCACTGCATAGACTAACCCATAGTCTAAAATCAAAGACTCTTGGTATACTAAACAACCAAACATCCATGCAGTGCTAGTCCTATAACGTTTAGGCCTGCAGAGTTTTGTGAACCTAAATTCAACATCTAATAGTGAAAATATTCTTACAACAAATCAAAAGAAACTGAACAGTATTTTGAATCAAAATATTGCTGCTGTTTGTGCACTTATTTCTATATTCTGCTCAAGGTGAATCGTTTGATGGAAAGTATTGTCTCTGCAGTAATACCCAGTGTAACTATAATGATCAGATGTTCTCTATTGATGATATATTTGATGAAAACACTTTATAAAACAATGCAGTTAAGCTAACCATCCCCAGTTGCATCTCCTGGCTGCAATCACTTTGTTTCATACTGTGCAATGTGGAATGCTTGTGTTGATACATCTCAGTCATTCTGGAAGATAAAGGGAAGAATGGCTGTTAAATAGTTCCCCTTTTAGATAAGCAATATTGTTTCTGAATTGTGAGATGGAGACTGGATGCTAAGTTTCAGACTATCGTGTCTGTCCTGCTAATGCTGTTTATTCTGCTCAATTAAACTGCTTTTAAGCACACAGTTTGTTGGGGAAAAAACCTCCTATCTTATCCTATCTGGCAGTTTTCGGGCCAAACAATTCCCTCCCACCCACCCCCCTTCCAGCACCAAGATCTGGGTACTGGATTATGCCAAAGACATAGGGATTCAAAGTCTCTGCTTCCTGCCCTTGCATGTTTCCCATCAGCAACAAGCTCCAACACTGTACTGTTTAGGGGAAGCCCACACTGCATCCAGGTGCAGTATCTGCCTCTTCTTCCCTGCTCGTACATGGGAAGGCTGAGCTCTTCGCCTCAAAATGCACCTTATGGAGGTTACCATGGGACCACAATCAGATCCTGGCAGGGGAACACCCACCCTGTACATCAGCCTGAACAATCTAAGAACACTCCCCCTATGATGGAGCCTCTGTCCAGCTCCGTTGGTACCAGAGCTATGGACCCCACAGTAAGTCTTCCTCCAAATCCAAGAAGAATGCTGCATCATCCATGAGTTCTAGCCACAGAGGAGCAATGCATTCCAAGGCTCACGAGCAGTAAGAGGCTGCTTATCTGTTCACTGGATCTACGAGTGCTGGTTCTGGAACCATGTACCCCCCTCTTCCTTCAGCTCCACTGGCATCCTGTGAATTGTTGGTCCAGAGACACATCCCTTTACCAGTCCTGGTCCCAGCCAGAGACCAGGTATCATTAACTCTGGGAAGACTCAGCAGTGCTCCCGGACCTCACAAAACTGTTTGCCCTGGAAAGAGTGAGGTCTCAGTGTGTTCCGGTGCACCCACCTGCTTGGAGGGCCCCCTCTCCCGCATTAGATCTACTACCTGTTGGCCACAGCCCTTTAATGCATCCCCTTCTGACGGCTCCATAAGCACCACAGTTCATGCAGATTCCAGTTTTTCTGAGTCTGAAGATTCGGCTGTTTGACATGGTCTGCCGCTTCCGTTCTGGAGACATGACTACCAGAGGGTTCCGGTGGCACTGTGGCAGTTCCCTCCTTTATCTCAGCCAAGGAGCTACTGGTATCCAGTTCCTTGGACACTGACACAATGGGATCAACCAAGATAGCCATACTGGAGCTTATGGCCTCACTATTTCGGCATGGGAGGACTCTTCTGTTTCGCCACCCAATCCTTTGTTAAGTAGACACGTGGCATCGGGGATAGATGGTACCAACGACCTGGGGAGATTCCCTTTGTTAGCCCTAGACGTGGCTGTGCCATCAACATCCTCCTCCTCACCTGATGCCTATCGTCAGTTTTAAGAGCTACTAGGCAGGATAACCAATGCTCTTGAGATCCCACTAGAAGTGCAGGATAGTCAGCACTACTTACTAGACATTCTGCACCCAGGGCTAAGGGCAAGCAGAGTCATCTAGATGAGGTTGAGAGTAGGCCCCAGAGCAGGAGTTCTCAAATGGTGAGTTTAGGACCCCAAAATGGGTCAAAACCCCCTTTCAATGGGGCCCCTAGGGCTACCATTAGACTTGCTGGGAGCCAGGACTGAAGCTGAAGCCCGAGCTTCACCCTCACTCAGGGTGGTGGGGTTTGGGATCTGGCTCTGCTCCCCTGGGTCATGTAGTAATTTTGTTGTGGGGGGGGAGGTCATGGTGCAATGAAGTTTGAAAACTGCTGTCCTAGATGCACCATTAGGCTAGCACTGTAGGGCCGCTCGTCTAAAAACTAAATTGCTTTGATTGCCCCTGCAGTGCCAGGTAATAGAGGGGGACAGCATCACTTGATAGCCTCATGTCAATGGCTTGCTAGGGGGAGGGGGACAGTTTGGAGAGGAGGGAGGGAGCCTTATTTGCAAAACTAGGGATGCTCAGAACAGGACCGTGGTTCCAGGGCCACCCAGAGGATGCAGGGGGCCTGGGGCAAAGCAATTTCAGGGGCCCCTTTCATTTAATAAAAAAAAAAAGTTGCAATACTATAGAATACTATATTCTCATGGGAGCACTGGCGGGGCCCAGGACACATTGCCCCACCTCCCGCAGCCCTGTGTGGTTCTTTAGGGATAACAGTATGAAAAGCGGCTAAATTCAGGGTGCCCGGCTCCAAGGCAGCCTCCCTCTACAATAAAACGGTGTGGCTGGGGGGGACAGACCCCAGCAAATTGTTACGCGGGGGGAGCGGGAAGGTGCTTACCAATACTAAGGGCGCAGAGGAGACATGTAGCAGAGCTCTGCAGCTGCAGTGACGCGCTCAGGCTGAGAGCGGTGCACGCTGCCTGGAAGCAGGAGACCCCGGGGCTGCCGTAGCCGGCTCCGCTGCTCCCCGAGCCCAGCCCTCTTGTCTCGCCCGCTCGCCGCCTCCGCCGCTGCAGCAGCCCGGCCAGCCGGCCGGCGGCACGAGCGCTTCTCGCAACGTTCGAGCAGCCCGGGCCGGCAGCGCCGCCTCGCGCACTGCCCAGACCCCCTCCCCACAATGCACCGCGAGAGGCAGCCTTTGAAAAAGCGGCGCGGCTCGTTCAAGATGGCGGAGCTGGATCAGCTGCCCGACGAGAGTGAGTAACAACCCGCGCCCGCTCCCTTCCCGGCCCGGTGTCCCCCTTCCCCGCCCCGCGGGGCACAGCCGCTCCGGGGCTCAGCCCGCCCCCGTCTGGCCGCCTGCCCTGGGCCGGGCCCGGCTGCTGCGGGCGCTGCGCGGGGCCGGAGACCGAGTCTCCTCCTCTTCCTCTGGAACCGGCCCGGCCCCCCCCCGTCCCGCCACCCCCTACCCCGTGCAGGCGGGAGGGGCCGCCCAGGGAGCGAGGCAGGGCGACCCCCGGGTTCCCGCCCCTCCCCTCCGGCGGGAGGGGACCTGCACCCCGAGTTCGGGCGCAGCCTGACAGGCCGGGGCCACGGCCGCACCCGGGCCACGGACGGGCCGCACCCGGGCCAGGGCGCTGCCTGTCAACAGATAGGGACGCGCCGTAGAGCTTCGAGCACCGATACTGCCCCTGGCACGGGAAGCTGCTCCTGGAAGGGGGTGCTCAGCGCCTGGGGCAAGAGCGCTGCACTGAGGGGATGGGACTCGGCCCAGGCAGAAGGGGGCGCACTTTGCACGGGGGCACAATTAATGCACTGCATTGAACGGACCATTGCTGTGCCCTGTATCTTGGGAGGTACTAATAGTGCACTTGGGGAGAGGGTGACACAAGGAAGTGCACTGCCTCTTGGGAGACTTGTGGGTGGGACATAATGACATGTATATTGTATGGGGGGAGCACTAAAATGACCCAGGGAGATGGGGGGCGGGCGGCAGCAAAGGCGCACACACACACATACACTAAACGCTGTCTGACAGAGGTACCAGGGAAATGGGGGTCATGGAGACATGTAAACTTCATCAGGGCCATGCCAAGAACAGGGATACACACATGCTGCACGGTGACACACACTGCATGTGGGGACAGATGCAAACTAAACATAGTAGATGGGGATATGAAGGCACGCATGCTTACATTATATACAAAGACACAGGCATGCACTGTATATGTGGATACAAATGAACATACAGAGAGGTTGATACACATGCTGTACACTGTCTCAGACTTGCTGCATGTGAGGTAATACCTCATAAGGTGTGTGAGGTAATATCTTTTATTGTACCAACTTGTGTTGGTAAGAAGAGCTCTGTTACTCTGAAGAAGAGCGCTTTGTTAGCCTGAAAGCTTGTCTCTCTCATCAACAAAAGTAAGCGATATTACCTCCCCCAATATTGTAACCACATTGGTCCCAGGATATAGAGACACAAACCCACTGCATATACAGATTGTGGACGAACAAAACTACAGGTACAGAAAATAGAGATGTATGCTCATTCATGGGAGTTGTGCAAACTGTATACATACAGACATGCATAGATATACAAATAGACACTGAAGAAAGGAAGCAGGAAGGCACAGAAAAATGGTAGGGCTAATTGAAAAGGCACAAGAGTTTATTCTATAAAACATGTAAGTCTCTGCAAAGTGTATCCATTAAAAAGGAGCATATGATACAGCACATAAAGCATACAGTTGAAACTAGGAGGGCTATTTGAGAATTTGAAGCACAAATCAAAGATATAAACAAGAAATTCTTTAAGTATCTCAGAAGCAGAAAGGTAGTGGGAGGATAGAGATTGCAAAGAAGCATTTGGACAACAGGCTGGCAGATTAAGTCAGTGTAGAGAAGTACAAGGAATGTAAATCGGAAATAACCATTTGAACTACTTGTACACGCTAGTGGGTTCTAAATGAACTGTAAGAATGCAAGGGACAATCCTAAATGGTTTCATTTAGAACAGACTGATGAAAACTGATGCACAGTGATGCTCAACCAAATAAGCAAAAATTTAGATTGGATTAAAACAAGGACAAAGCAATGGTTTTCATCCTTTTCCCTATGGGAACCCTTTGTTACAGCAGAAAAAGTTTGGGACCCTCATCCCAGTTAGCCAGAAGAAAAGGAGGGTGTTCATGACCTCCAGATTGAGAACCCCGGGACAGAAAACAGTATAAAAATATTATAATGCAACTGTAGAAATCTATGGCCTCACCTTCAATACATTGTTCCCCTAAATTCTAGTTCCCCTATGTGAAAAGATAGAGCTTATGCAAGGATACTACAGACAGTCAGGAATGGAACCCACATCTCCAACATGGCAAACCTCAGTCATATCTACTATACCACATTGCCTTTCTGACCAACTGTTCCAACTTTGCTTATCCTATTTCTAACCAATATAAACCACACTCCTCTGCCAGCTGGTAATTACTCCAATAACTGAAATATTAAAGTTCTGAGCTGAGGATCTGAAGGTCACGGCATTCAAATCCTGCTGCTCAACTGTGTGAGAGGATGGCGTGGTTGTGTGTAATTCACACATTAAGAAGACCTCTTTAAAACTGATTTTGCCCTGTAAATTAGAGTGTAAATTGCCAAAATACATGTTTCATATTTCAGTCATGTCACACATTTGGTTTATTTAACCCAGGGGTAGTCAATAGGCGGACTGTAGGCCAAATCCAAACCGCCAGACACTTCTGAATGACCCAGAAATCTTTTTATGTACTTATCATTGTTGGGGTTTTTTTTTTATTATTTTCTCTGGAGTGTGTGTGTGAGAGACAGACAGACACCTGCCGTTTGTATCTGATTCACATAGGGTTAGAGCCTATGACAGCTCCCAACTTGAAAGCATGGCTATTTAGCACAAGCTGTAAAAACTCATCCCTTTAGCTCTGGAAATCTTTGGTTAATCTCTGGTGTCAGCCAAGGTGGTGGCTGTCACATATTGGCAGGTTTGAAGACGGAGAATTATGCTTTATAGTTTTAAGGTTGGAGGACTGAGGGGAGGGGGAAGCACAATAGGCAGACCTGCTGCAGCTCCCAGACGTATCTAATTTCCAGAAGTCCACGAGAGGCTGAAGTATGTTTCAAGGAGTAGGCAGTGGTACAAACTCCTTCATAAAGGTTCCCTCCAGCTGTTTGGTTTTGTAGCCACTACTAACTATGGTGGTTTGCTCTTGGCATACTTCACTTTTTTAACAGGCATAAAATTATTATAAGAGATACAGAACTTTCTAAGGCTCATTACAGTCTCCCACACCCTTCAGAAGGGTCATCGCGGTTACGAAGGGTTGTGCAGTGCAGTTTCTCCTTCTGATTCCCAGGCAAGGTATAGCTCCCCTTCTCCCTGACCCTTGGGAGCTATCCACTGATGTGTTTTAATAAAAAACAAAAAAACCACCTAGGAAACTAACACAAATAAAAACTGCTTTTAGTAGACAGTTAAGGTTGCATCCATACACACACCATTCATCCAAAACCTTAAAAGTCTGAAAATAAATTAAGGGATTCCTGTATTCCTTGCCACCTTTATATTGCCTACAACACTGTCAATAACACGTTTTAACACTTCATAATATTTTCACTTCCATCTCCAACATAAACTGAAAAACAATATGTACCTCAACTTCATCAAACTTGCACAAACCTTATTGGCAATGTGGCATATTGGTGTATATTTTATGTGACTAGATTGGCACATCTGACTATTGCACAATCCACATATTTGGCAAGTTAATATGCTTTATGTAAGAGCTTGGTATTATTAATAGTGCTGAGGTCACAATTAAGGTTTTGGGTTAGAGTGGAAGTTTGAAGCTGGGATATGTATTGCTTTTCAGTATCTGTTGAAGATGGAAGTGAAAGCTTTATGGAGTGTTAAAATGTGTTATTGACAGAGTTGTAGACAATATGAAGATAGCAAGAAATTCAGGAGGCTTTTTTCTTAACTACCTCTTTCTATGTTCTTTGGATTTTGTTGGCTGGGGTGTCACTTTAAGTGTTACTAAACATAGTTTTTGTTTGTGAATTAAGTATGAGAGTGGAGGTGAAGAGACTAATGTTAAGAGTCCTGGTTCTGACACTGATTTTCTGTATAATTTTGGATATGTCACTTAACCTTTCTGAGCTTCAGATTCTCAATCTGTAAAATGGAAGTAACAGTATCTACAAAATATTGTAAATTGCTATAACAGTGCAAAGGATTACACCAGTCAATGTCAGATGGGAGTAGAATATAAGACCCCCATGCTTTCCGTCTTCTGCACAGCCCACTAACCCAAGTGGATTTTCAGGAACGTTACATTTTGTTAGCTTTTTTTCAGAATTTACAGTTGTGAATTTTCATATAAAATAGGTTGTAGTTAAACCCCTTGTTCTCTATGGCAAGATGGACCTAAATTCTACTTCATGATTACTGGTTTTTGCACTAGATGAGAAATTGTGCAGCAGCTTCATTTTTTTTTTTATGGAAGTTTTTTAAATCAATTTAAATGTGGCATTGAATACAGCTGGTAACCCTGTTATTTATTTGATAAGTTCAGTTTATTATACACTATCCTGACATTTTTCAGTTTTTAATATGCCAAAGATTTTTATCTTGACAGTGCCTAATTGCATTCTAGAATTTGTCAGGGGGCTGGGGTAACTGGGCAGGAAACATTTGGGACTCCTAACAGCTGGAGATACGTGGGTGGGGGCAGTTTGAAATTGTAGGTTGAACACACTAGGTGTATGCTTCTGCTAGAATTATCATCAGCGAAGTAGTTAAACTATTATCTTCAGGTTTCAGATTTAATATTTCATTGAAATTAACATAGGGAAATTCACACCTCTGATTCATTGGTTCAGACTGTCTGCAGACTCAGGAAGACAACAATGCAGCAGTTAATACTCATTTAATATTTTCAAGGCTTCACAGCTGGGAGAGCTAGAATCATTTTTTAAATGAAAACTGAGAATGTGGCGCACATTTCAGTGATGAGGTAGAGTCAATGGCAGATCCTACAGCTGAAGAATCACAGAATACAAAGGCCTTGATTATATTTCCCTATAGATTCTGACCTGTAGCAGTAAAAGTATTTCAGGCATAGTAGTCATTGGATTTGTATATTTAAGACTGCATTGTGCGCATAATATGGCTGCTACCGAGGGAATGATTGTGATAATTGTTCTAAATGAATGTGACGAT